AGCACGTCGAAAACTTGACAGCCGGATTGCTAACGGGGGGCTGGTTGCAAGAATCCCATAATAACTCTCTCATTACAGCAGCTCCACTGGCTATCGATCCATTTCCAAGCATAATTCAAAAGTGCTAGATCTAACCTATAAAGATTTAAAACAGTTTGGGTCCCTGCTGTCTCAAGGACCATGTTTCTGCTTATGAGCCTACTCCAGTGGTTAAGATCATTTGGAGAGGCCTTTCTCTCAGTCCCGCCACCTTCATAGTTATGTTTAGTGACGACACAGGAGAGGGTCTTCCCTGTTGCTGCTCTCAGACTTTGGAACTACCTGCCACAACAGGCCCGTCAGGCCCCATCTTTGCTGTGGTTCCACAAGATGACAAAGACCTTTCTCTTCAGGCAACCTTTCCCACAGTGACTGGTTGCCTGAGTGGGATGCTGTGATTTGGCTCTTGTTTAGGAATAGGCAGTTCCTCTTGTGAGGCAGAAATAAGAGGCGTTTTTTTCTGAAAAATCAAGATCTTTATTAATAACAATAGTGGATTAGGAACAGTCTTCACTGGTTCAAATAGACTTGTTTTTTTTTAAAGGTAAATTACAGGATAATGATCCAAACCTTTCTATAATACAACTGTCATTTAACTGTCCCAACTGTCAATCTTCAAATGTCAGAAGGGAGCGGGTCCAAATTTCTCCTGATCCCTCCATTTGTGTAGAGGATTGCTCCTCGCAGCACACACCGTCCCACAACAAGGATGTCTCAGCCATTCGTCATCTTGACAATGTTGGTTTGCGGAGCCTGATACAAATTGGCAACAAACCTCCTACTCTCAAATTAGGGAAATCATCTAATAATTTATTTAATTACTCTTCTAAACCATCTGTCCTTTCCTTTCTATCTTTCCCTATTCATCTGTTGTCTTTTCCTCTCTCTTGACTTTTCTCCCCCCTCTCAAGACTCCCCTCCTCTTTTACTGTCTTTTCTAGCTTCTCTCCTTTTTCTTCCTCTTTCTCTTCTACTAATCCAATCTCTATTCCCTCTTGCGTTTCTATTCCTTCACTTTTCTTCACCTCCTCCTTTCTTTTTCTTCTTTCAATTCCTTGTCAACTTCTCTACCTGGGGAAGGGGACGGCACACTCTCCAGTCTTTTCCCTTCTTTTCTCTCTTTCTCACAGATGCTTAAATGGGTTGTGGTACTTCACTGATTTGAGTGTGGTTTTGGTGTTGTTTTTATTTACCTTTTTCTAGCATGCTATTTGATCTTTTTTAAGCATTTGTATACTTACTGTTTTTAGCTTTAAATATTGTTTTTTAGTTATGTAAGGCACTTTGGGTCCTTTTTAGGGAGAAACATGAAGTAAAAAATATTTTAAAGAAAATAAATAAATATTTATGCCAATCCTAATAAGGCTTTCAAGGTACGTGATATGTTAAAAGAATTATCTACCATTGCCACTGTGAGTTTCTGTGGCTGAGTAGGATTTGAATCCAGGTCTCTTGGGTCTTAATCAGACACTCTGCCTGCCACATCACATTAGCTCTTCTTGTCTTGGCTCCAGCAAAACAATGTACTTTCTCTTGGTGTTCTGAATCACAAAGTTTGGAATTTTGTTCTCTCCACACACCTTCCCCAAATGACTAAATGAGTACTGAGTTTGTTGTTACGTGCTTGAAGTTACTTCTGACTTTAGGTAAGCTATGAATTAGTCACCTCCAAAGGGTCCTATCATTAAAAGTCCTCATTAGTTCTTGCAGGCTCAGGCTTTCATATTGGAGTCAATCCTTGTCATATTTGGTCTTTCCCTGCTGACTTCATCTTTTCTTGTTGTCTTATCTTTTCATGATATATCCAAAGTCATGACATCAGGTCATGTCCAATGACTATGGTCAGCATCAGTTAGAATTGATCTGATGACACATAATTATTGTAATTAATGGGCTTTTCAAGAATGTGAGATACTTAAAGTGTGGTTTTACTAGTGTTGCTGCCCTTCCAGTGAGTTTCCATGGCCAAGCAGGGTTTTAACCCAGGTGTCCTAAATTGTCATCCCACATTCTACCCACTACACCACACTTGTATTAAGTAGAATAGTCTCAATTTAGTCATTTGTATTCCTCAGTCCTCCTGAGTCCTAGTTCATCACTCTACCCATTACACCACAGTGGGTGTCCTAGTGCATTATGGTTTGAAACTGAAAAGGCTGTAGTTAAGAAATCAGAAGGAAATTCTGACTTGGAAAGGCAGCTGTGACAAATAAAAAAAGAACCTTAAGTGTGTGCCACTGGAGACCAATACCAAGATCATCCACACTATGGTGTTTCCAACTGCTAAATCCATTCATTCGAAGTGTGGTGTTGGTGGACAGCTTTATGGATACTGTGAGCCATCAGCAAGACAAATATGAGGTTTTAGCTCAAGTCAAGCCTGAACTCTCACTAGAAGCAAGTATGGTTGGACCAAGGTTATTGTACTTGGGCTAAGACTTGCTGGTAAAGTTTATAACGCTAGGATTGGAAGGCAGCAGAGAAAGAGGAAGCCCTAACATGAGATGATTGACTCAATAAAGAACCACACAGACTTTAGTTTGCAAAACCTGAGCAGGGTTGTTAATGATGGGAGTTTTATTAAATCATTAATTTGTAGGGTTGCAGTTAAGTCAAAAGAAGCTTCATGAGATATAACAAGAACGACTAAGCTGCTGCTTTCACAAAACGAGGACATATATTAGAAATGGAGTAAGGCAGCAGCGGTGTGCGTACTTTCTGGGATGTAATTCTCATTAAACCTTAGAGCTAGAGCTTATTTTTTACTGGATATTAAAAAAAATCACACAGAATTTGAGCTCAAGTTTTGACAATAAAAAAAAGTCCAGTATTGCTGGTTGTATCCATTTTTATTTAGTCATATATTATGGAATTTATATCACACTTCATATATGAAATGTTATTGGAAATAAGCAATGCTGTTATTTATTTAATCTAATGAATTAATTGGATTATTTTTTTTTAGCTGTAAACTACCCTGAGTCCACAGAATGCGATAAACCGGTTTCCTCAAAGTACTGGGCTACCTATTGTCACTAGAACTTCTGAGTTAAGGGGAACTTTCTATGTGTTGATATCAAGAGCCAGTTGGCCCCAGAATTGAACCTCGTTAACGTCCCGCGTTAACGACGCTCACGAAAAGCCCTTTCCCATTATAGTTTCACAAGGCATGGCCGCCGCCAGCCGGGCCTGAGCACCGGCGTTTCCGCTGACGTCATCATGAATCCCGGGCGATAAACGGGTTGCCTGGGAGGCGTGGCCAGCGCGTGGGCTCCGCCCCCGTCTATTAGCTCCGCCCCCGAGGAGGCGGAGCAAAGCTTCCGTGCGCAGCCTCAGGAGCGCCGTTGTCACTTCCTGCTCCCGCCTCTACGCGCCAGGGCGCCGCGCTCGCAGGCGTCTTCTTCCCCGCCTCCTCTGTTTCCTTGCCGGCGTTGCTGGTGCTGCGGCGGCGGCCGCCTCAGCTTCTGACACCCCCAACCTCAGCCTCGAAGCGTCGTATTCCGTTGCCGCCCTCCCCGCCCGACTCACACGTTTCCTCACACCTCCCTCGGGCGAGGGACGGAGGCAAGAGGAGAGGGTGGGAGCCACGGCGGCGGCGGCCCCGGCCCCTCTCGCAGCTTCGCCACTGTTGCTGCCAAAGAAGGAAGAGGCGGAGGAGGTGGCGGCCCTAGTGGCGGCTTCTGAGGAGGAGGCGGCGAAGAAGGCGGGCGTTCTCGCCACCCGTGCGTGGGGGGGCCCCGCAGGCAGGCCGGGGGCTCCGGCTCCCCTTCCCAGCCCCTCCCGGCGGTGACTCGAGGAGATGCCCGTGAAAAAGAAGCGCAAATCCTCGGGCCAGGCGGGCGACGAGTCGGGCCTCAAGAAATGTAAAATCAGCAGGTACCGGATGGCCGGCTAGGCCCCGCTTTTCATAGGGTTCCCCCCCCTCCCCGGGCG